TAAAATAAATAAATAAATAAAAAGGGAAGGAAAGAAAGAGGGGGTCACATAGGTTGTTTGTTTGCTGCCTGCGTCTCTGCATGTTCAGCAGATCTGCCCACTGTTCCTGAACCAGTCGGAGTGTATACCTAGGGGGTCGGTGGACCGGGCAAGGTGTAGGCTTAGAATCATGGGGACATTTCGGTAGCAGGGAGTTTATTGACATAATCAAGTAGTGGTTTCCAGTATTAATAAAACTTTTCGGGACGGCCTCTAAGGTTGAATTTGATTTTCTCCAGCTTCAATAGAAATAGTAGGTCATGTAGCCAGGATTTAAAGGAAGGTGGCTGGGAGGATTTCCATAAGAGAAGAATTTTCCTACGTGCAATCAAGGACGCAAATGCAGAATGATTTTTGTCAGCTAATTTGTTTCAGCTCTACAAAATAGATGAAATACACAACTCTTTTTAGTTCATTTACTTTGCACAAAGACTAAAGGGGCTACACTGTACAAACATAACATGACTTCTTATACGTACACATACAAATGTGGCAAGGGGCAATGAGTAGAAAAAGTAGGAAGAGGGCCAACAACGCCACCTGGAGGAATTACACTCCAGGAAATACTTACTCAACAACCTGATACTGAGTTGAAAATTAGGAATATGGCTACAGACTCAGTACTGAAACAAGGACAAAGATGTGAGGTCAAAATAAACCAAATATTTTATTGAATTTCTCAAAAATAAACCCAGTTGGTTTTATATTACAGCACAAAAAGTACATTTATACAAATCAACTATAAGGCTAAATAACTCACCATGCTGCATACTAAAATATTTGCATTTAAACCCTCCTCACCACCTCTGATACAAGGCATTAACACAGGATCACTCATGGGCAGGACAACAGGGTTTCCACATGCACTGTGTGCTGACAATGGATCAGAGCAAAGCTAAAAACAAAAGGCAAGCAACTGAGTACACAGGGTTAAAAGCACTGACTTGTCCAGGGGAAATTTACGACACACCTGTTTACACAAATATACAAAAAAAAGTAGCAATGAACATTTTTGGCACAGGAAATAATTGGGGAAGGCCTTAATAATCTTAGCAGTGGAAGAAAATCCAATAAATTAAATATAGTAAATTCAAAGCTTTTATAGCTCCTCTGAAAATACATAAAAATACCAAATACATGAAAGAAACAAAGATTTTTTTAAGGTAATTATTTGCAGGAGGATCCCTTTTCTTTCTCTTCCTCGTCTTCTGAAGACTGAGAGGAGAGGCGTCTAAAGAATTATATGATTTTTATTCCCTGTGCTCGACTTTCTGGAGTGATTCATCTTCTTTATCAGGTCACATCCGTCTTGTTCTCCCTCAGGATCAGGTGTCATGTTTGACGAGTGAGTACGAGGACGCCGTTCAGAGAGCTCGCAGGCTGTCAGCGTGCAGAGAGAAGATCCTGACAGGCCGAGGAAACCCTGCCAACCTGCTCACTCAGGACGACATGGTCATTTACCTGCGGTGGCTCGTCTGCCATCTGCACTCTGTTCAGACTGTTCACAACTTCCTCAGGGTGAAAACACATCTGTCTTTTTATCTAATTTATTTTGCACTGTTGATTTCTTACATTCACACTTCTGCTTCAACAGGTGCTGCACTACGTACCAGCCTGTGAGAGAAAACTTGAAGAACCACAATCAAAGGTTCATGAGGAAACTTCACATAAGAGTCAATATGTTGATGGTGAGTCACAGTCAGCAGCTGTGTCCTCCATTTTCCTTCCTTGTGCTGTTTTTAGTATCTTGGCTTGAAATCTAAAATTTGCAGAGTGGGTGATGGTCGAGGAGCCATGAAAATGGAAAAGTACACAAGAGAAAAAGCTCACACAGACTTAAAATGGACGGGGTTTGTCTTCTAAACACATTCAGTAAATTTTAGGATCAAGCCGTTAGATTTCGATTATTCTTCTTGTGTATATGCGGAAATTTTTGGGTGATGATGATGCTACAGAAAAAGGTTGGGGGTCACCAAAGTCAGTAGGATGTTGAATTTATTGAAAGGATAACTCCTTGAGATGCAGCATCATATTTTCAAGGGGATCAATCAGGAGAGACTTGTTTTCTTAGAATATTTATTAACATGTGCACGTAACAATGAAAAGTGTGAAAAGTCTTTGGCGATTAGACCCCAGAGAGATTGTATGATTTAAGGAGGGTGATGAATCCATAATCCAATAGGGAATGTGATAGTACACAGCTTTGAGATGAGATGCTATTCAACAGTTTCTCACTGAATACATTCACCTACAGGTACTTCAGGGCTGGCTGATAAGGTTCCCCTGCACACTGTCCACCTGGAGGAGTTTCTACCTGAGCTGCAGTCTTTGATTGCTCACTTCCACCTGACCTACGACACCCGCAAACTCAAGACCACTGCAGACGAGATGGAGTTATTCAGCACGGTAATGATTTCTAATGCACAGTGGTCGAATGTAACTAAGTGCGTTTACTCAAGTATTGTAATGCAGTACAAATTCGAGTTAGTGCCCTGAGCGGTTTGGGTTCAGGGCAAGGGTTTGGTGCCTTGCTTAGGGGCACCTCAGCAGTGCCCAGGAGGTGAACTGGCACCTCTCCAGCTACCAGTCCACACTCCATATTTGGTCTGGACGGGGACTTGGGTTACCGACCCTCTGGTTCCCAACTGAGGTCCCTATGGACTGAGCTGCTGCCCCCCAATTACATCTCTGAGGCAAATATTATACTTTTTACTGCACTACATTTGTCTGACAGACTACAATTGTCAATCCCCTTACTGTCCAGTGAAAACCAATCTAGATTAAACTACACAACAGTATATAAAGGAGTTAAAATTAGAACAACCTTAAACATCCATGGTAAAAGTCCATCCAAGTAAAATGCAATAAACACATTCATGCAGCAGTGATATTTATCCAAAAACGTCATTTATAATAGTAAAACACTGACAGGGAACATTTTACTGCACAATGAACACTTCTGCTTTTGATACTTTAAGGACAAGGCTCTTGTCACGGCTCAAGTTTCTTACATTATGTTTCTTATTTAATTCCTTCATGTTGTTTCCTATTTTACTTTGAAACTCACATCTCCTCTTGGTTCACATAACTTCACTTCCAGCCCCTGTGTGTTTTCCCTCCCTCTTGATGACTTCACCTGTGTCTGATTAGCCTCACCTGTGTCTCATTATCCTTCCCCTCACCAGAGTATTCTGTGTGTCTTGTTTTCTCTCAGTGCCACTTCATCTCAGCTCCTTGTTTGTGTAGTTTTGCAGCCTTTTGTTTCCCTGTGTCTTTTTCATGGTTTTTTGTATGTAGCCTGTTGATTGACTCTGACTCTGCCTCATCCATATTGGGTTTGTTTGCCTCCACTGATTCTCCCTCTGTGTGCTGAACCACCTTTTGACCAGTAAAGACTGTTTTTTACCTGACCTGTCTCCAGAGTCGTGTGTTTGAGTCCACTCTCACCTGGTTCACCAGGTGTTACAGTCCTGAAGGCAGGACTTTTACCTGTACTGGAGTATTTTCACAGTGTGGTAATAATGCTTTTACTTCATTAAAGGATCTGAATACTTTCTGCACTGCTGCCAGTGCACAGCTGATACAACATTAACACAAAAGCCTTGCAGTATTTATTAACTTGTATGTTTGTATATTCACAACTTGCATATCTGATGCATATTTAGGGCTTGTAAATGTTACTTACTTAAATTTTGTATTTAGTTTAATTTAGTTCTACTTCCACTTTCTTTGTCTAATTTTGAGTACTTAATGTCAATACGGGTAAATTGAGAGCAAAGTTTATGTGCACATGTACTTGGCCAATAAAGCCGATTCTGATTCTGAAACGACATCAGTCAAGGTGGTTTATAAGGAACATGTCGGTGTGACTCTATCTCCCCAGGTGTGGAGGGAGTTCAGAATGATTTTCAGACAACAAGAGCAGATGAAAACGTTTCCTCAGTACGACGGTTCAGAGGTCAAACAGAGCCAGTGGGGGAGGAAGACTCCGAGCCTCGCTCTGAGGAAGGAGGCCAACTGGATCCCCTTCATTCAGGTCATTTAAATAGTGAAAATAACCTCACCAAAAGCTTTTTCCTGCAGCCCAGTCGCCAGGACAAAATAGTAGAATTGTATGTTTCTGCAAACCATGAATATGTTACATTTGTAGGTTTCATACAAATTCTATCAGCATTTCTTAAGTGATGTAATATATGAGCTGTAACCAAGATGAAACACCTGCCAAGCTGCAGAACATTGTTCGAAACAAAAAATCTACAAAACTGATAGTGTTGTCGTTAGTCAAGTCAGGTTTCAGGTTTTAAAAGCTTTACTTAGAGTGTGTGTGTTTTGTGGGGGTGTAGGAGGAC